ATCACCATTTTTACGTTTTAAGATTTTCCTAGTTATACGCTAATAAATAGTTTCTTTTTTTTGTTAGTTGAAAAGAAATTTTATATAAAAAGAGTTTATGTTGGACACTTTATGACCTCTCTTAATATGCCCGGAGTTTCTTTGTCGATTTTAAGATTACCAAAGAATTCGGAATTAGTTAATCTATTGGATGAAAGTGCTGAAGCACCAGGTTGGATTAATCCTATTAAAGTGGATATTTCAAGTTTAGATGTTAGTTTGGATGAGAAAATTTCTCATTCAAATGCAAAAAAAAAGGAGGAAAAACATTTTGTTGTCAATGGTAATTAATTTAAATTATTTCTTTGGTTTAGCTTTTCTTGATTTAATTAAAATTTTTTATTTTCTCCTTTTTAGTGGACCCACAATTGTTTGAATCTACAATCAAAGCAGCTTGCAACGCTCTTATCCAAGCCGAACCAGAAATAACAAAATATGATACTATTGTAGGAGATGGGGATTGTGGTGTGACGCTGAAACATGGAGCAACAGGTTAAAAGATTTTTGTTAATTTTTGTATCTTATAGATATTTCAACTAACCCTTTGTATATAGATATACTTGCAGCTTTTGAGGAAGGTCAAATTGTAACCAATGATCTTTCAGAAGGCTTGATGAAAATTAGCAGCTTCTTGGAAGCAAGAGGTGGCACTAGTGGCTTTCTATATTGGTAATTCATAAATTAACTAATGTTCAATGCGTTAAAAAAATTTTTTTTTTTTTTATAATTTGTTAACATGATTTTTTAAATTCGTAGTTTATTTATAAATGCATTATCAAACAGTTTGAGATATTTCGTCGAAGCTAAAATGAAAGAAGATAGTCACATTAAAAAAGATCAGATTATAGTGGATGGTGAATGTTTTGGCGCAAGTTTAAAGGTAATTTTTTTTTTAAAAAAAAAAAATTCTCCAACATACAATATATAATGATTAAATGCTCTTTTTATATATCAAGTCTGCATTAAGTACACTGCAAACTTATACTCCGGCAAGAAAGGGAGATCGTACTATGATGGATGTAATAATTCCATTTATAACAACGTTTACAGACACGTACTCAACTGATTATAATACTTTACTAGCTTTTAAAGATGCAATTGAAGCAGCAAAAGCGGGTGCAGAATACACTAAAGGATTAAAGCCTAGATTAGGAAGATCAACGTATATTGCTGATAACATCATTAAAGAAGCTCAGGTAACTTTTTTTTTTTTAAAAAAAAAAAACCATAAAATTTTGTATCCGAAATAATTCATTATTTAAACGGTATTTATAGGTTCCTGATCCTGGTGCATGGGCAGCTTATGTTATTCTTAATGGGATTTATGATAATTTAAGTTAATTTTGTCAGAAATTACTATTGAAGTATTTTTATAATTTTTATAAATATTCAATATCAAAAAAAATAAATGTAATTTTATTTTATGGAATATGTATATATGTTTATCCCAGAATGAATAAACAAATATTTATTTTGTGATATTGATATATGATTAGAAATAAAAATGTATTTAAATATAAAAAATATTTTTTAATTATTATGTAAATTATATTATAAAGCATTATTATTTAAAATTAAATTAAATTGAAATTAATCAATTAATCAATTAATAATTTAATTTAAATAAATTATAATGATAATTACCTTTAAATCATAAAAACTTTTTAAAACTTTAAAAGCATTATTTTATTAATAAAAATATTTTAAATTTCAAAATCAATTTTTGATTAATTCAATTCAATTTGAATTTTTTTGAATTAAATCAAATAAATTGCTTTAAATATTTGATTATAAAGTATAATATGATTATAAAGTAATATAATTATAAATAAATTTAAATATTAGAATAATATTTTATTCATAAAACTTAAAAACTATATAATTAATATACTTAATTATTTAAATTTTTTATTACATAAAAAATGTAATTATAATAAATATAACTAAAATATATTATAATAAAATTATTTAACTATTTTTTTTTTAATTATTTCTTAAAGAAAATTAATATTTAATAAACTGATCATCATAATAACCTTTAACCATTTAATAATTTTTAATTAATTTTGATTAAATAGAATTTAAATAAAAATTTATAATTAATATTTAACTTATTATAAAAAATATTATTAATTTTTTTTCTTTAAATAAACCCTTTATTATATAATAAAAAGACTATTTATATAAAAATTACTATAAAAAAAAAATAAACAAATATTTTTATTTTTAAAAAATACATAATTCTGTAATAATTAATTTTGATCTTTTTTATTATTTTAATAATTAATTTAGGTAGTATTAGTGATTGATTTAAAATATTCAATAATAGTAATAATTAATAATCTTATAATTGATTTAAATAGTATTTCTATTATTAATTTAATAAATTTAATAATAATACATTTATAGTTAATTTAAATAGTATTAGTAATTAATTTAATAGATCTGATAATAATTATAATCTCTCTCTCTCTCTCTCTCTCTCACTTTGTATTAATAATAATAAATTTAATAATACATTTTTTTTTAAATATAAATTTTAAATTGTATTTTTAAATTAATATATTATTTCTTAAACTATAAATATAAAATTGTTTCTAAAACATTTTAGAAAAACTTAAAATATTTTAATATCTAATGATTATAAAAAGATAAAATAAAATTTTTAGATTTATCATATTATGATATATCTAATAGTAGTATTTTTAAGCTTTTAAAATTAATAATTATCAATATATATTAAATTTTCAATTTTTTAATTTTTAAAAATAATTTATTATCTAATAATTACAAAATATAAAATTTATTTTTTGGATTCATCACATTAAGACTTATTAAATGATAGTATTTTTATATTTTTGAGATTGATAAATAGCAAAATATATGAGCTTAAAATTTAAATTTTTTTATAATAATTTATTTATTTATTTATCTTTAAAAAATCACTAGTTAATTATATATATATTTTTTTTTTAATTTTTACTTAAAATACATTATAAAATTTATTATAAAAGTATTAATTTTTTAATAATATATTTTAAAATATTAAAATTAATTAAAAAGAATTGTAATTAAAAATAAAATTGCCTACAAATTTGTAAGTAAAACAGTTGAAGGGA